AAGTAAATATACCCATAATAAAATGTCAATGATCACACGTGGCAAGCGCGGTTTGTTTTGGGTTTTTGCTTTTGAATAGTTAGTGCTCTAGAAGGCAGCACACGCAGCGCGTGTAACTAGACTGTGCACGCTACTTGGTGACAAGCAATGTTATTAGATTAGCTCAGTTGAGGCCCTGTTACACTAAGGAGACTGCTGAAAACTCTATCCGGCAACACGAGAAAATCGTGTTCTTTAAAAGAGGAAAACAGCGCAAAAAGACGACGGACCGGATGAAGAAAGACACGGACAGCGCTGTTCGTGTCTTTCTTCATCCGGTCTGTCGTCTTTTCGCGCTGTTTTCATCACTTAAAGTATGTCGTACCAACTCGCCGGCGACCCTGTCACATCGCGGCAACAACTACAGTCGGTCAACATGTTGCTGCCGCCCCGCAACCGTGTTGGCCAATTTGTTGTCCGACCACCCTGGCACACAGCGCTAACGGTGGGGTGAACACGGGGAACACGTCGGTGGAAATGTGACTCTACAGAGTGCTAGTGTGTACGAAGGATCGGAAATTATCCCGGGACGACATCAACCAGTGATTGTGATTAGAAAACGTAACACGAGGATTATTTTTCTTCCATTATTTTATCAACTATTCTTCATTTGCTGACAAAGAAGATAGCCCTAACCAAGGAATGTGAGATTGCTGATATATGTTTCGGATTTACGCCACCGTATGAAGTTTTTCTGTCCGGTTCTTTTTTTCATGCAATTCCTATTTTTACAGTAAAATTAGGTTAGCACCGGCAGTGCACCAAAGCGTTTTTTGTAGCCTGGTGTTGAGCTGAACTGAGAGTGCTTCAGAACGGCGAGGCTTACTACAGTTAATCGAAAGCCATTTCATCCAAACACGTTTTAGAGAACGAGAACATTTTATCGAATCTCGGTCTAGAGAAAGCGGAGCCTCAATTTACGCAATCTCTGTTTATCGAAAAGGAACGCTGTTTTAAAAAAAGGCTTCCCTACTTCGCGCGTGTATCACTGGGGCGCGCGAACTGCTTCCTTTTAACAGGAAGTTTTCCCCATCATGACTAACAGGAAGCAGTTCGTCGTCCTGTATCTAAAGCGCCGCTGCCATAATCGCCGTATCGCCGCTCCATATACGCCTCCATCTTTCTCTTCCCGTCAGCTCGCACCACGCCCTGTTGTCCAGATTGTGACCGCTCAAAGCGTGTGCTAACGCTGACATCCCTCTCCCCGCCGTTAGTGGGAATGCATGAGTCAGGGACGTCACGCCCTTCCATCCCCAAACAGCATCCTCCGTCTGAATATCCCTTTTGGTGCTATACGCCTCTACAAAAGTTCGTCAAACAGCGATGAATTTCCGCCAGGCCCTTGGACGAAAGCTTCGAATATTTAGCGTTTAATGCCACAGATACGATTGAGGCCAATTGCAGGCACAGGCGCACTGTGTTCTATGCATTTGTGGACAACGGGAGCGTCTGATATATCTACTGTATATGGAAAATTTAGTCGAGGCAGTATAAATGCTAACCTTTTAACGTGCATCACGCGGTAGTAACAACACAAAATCACGCCGGTACAATACTCATACAGATCGAAAGGGGCGCGGGATTGGACCCAAGATCCCTCGGACGAGTGCAGCCAATCATACGGCTGAGCTAGGTTCGCCCACTGCTTGTGAAACAAAGTAGAGACGGACCTATGCGGACTTTCCACCGACGTAGCTGCCACTCGCGCTCTTCGAGTTAACTGTACTTCGTGGAACCGGCGCGACGTACATTTTATTGAAACGTACTGACTGTCTTCTTTCTTCTAACAAACTGGCGCACGACTTAAAAAAAGAAAAGTATCGCTCGTCTTAATCCTGCATTACCATGAACATAATAAGCTTTCACTCACTTCCTAGAACAAAACGTAAAAAGCAAGGTCAAGGAATCAGACGCTAGTAATGGTTTAGCATCGGGAGGACGTCGGCCTAATAACTTAGTATACGGCTAACTATATCGACTGACTCCGTTATAACTTGAAACAATATGTGATCTTTTTAATGCACGAATGCGTCACAAACTTAATTTTCTGTAAATAATAGATCTGGCAGAATAGTTGCGATTTGGAATTTATCGCCTGGTTTTCCGCTCACAAAAAAGGAAGATAGCAGTCGAAAAGGGCGCTATGTTGAAACGGCAGCACCGGATATAGTCGCCGAAAAGAGGGCATTTACGAGGGGGGAGAAAGACAGCGTGGTTAGTCTGTTCTAAAGAACCGGCTGGTATCCCCCGCTATTCGCCTCGAGATCGAACTAAAGGTGGCGCTACTGTCGCGCTATCATCATCATCACTATATGAATGGGAAGACGGTTGCCCCATTGGCTATCTGCGGTCGCGGACAAGAACCTGCCGAATATCGCGTTTATTGTCTCGTACAGTATCATTGTGAAAGAAATTCCAACAGAAAATGGTCCCCTACTGTTCCTTGTCTCAGTGCAATACCTGTTGCAGCGAGGTGGGGATCACTTTTCACCGATATCCAGCGGCCGGCGCGCCGAGGAAAGGATGGCTATCGAAGTTGGGATCTGATTCATGCAATGGTTTTCTCCAAACATTTCACCGTCGAAGACTTCAAACCAAAGATGCATGATAACGAAGTTTGAGAGGGACAAGAAAACTGTTTACACAAGTGTCACGAGGAAGTATGGTACGCGTAAAGCGTGCACGTTAAAACTCGCTCGCTGCTTGGCAGTGTGATCGTCCTTAGTGTGGTTCTCCCGCTGCAGTGTTTTTGGAGAGGATGCAAATGCCACAAACTTTTACTGCGTGAGAATACGAATTTTGAAACGATGTAGAAGTGTCACTCCTTCGATCCCACCTACACTATGAAACAGCAAAGGAGGCATCGACTGCAGCGGAAGTGACTCGCTCAGTGCCTGCGTGTGCCTCAAACGCACCAGATCAATTTTCTTCAAGTTCGGTCGGAAGTACGCGGTAAATAGGGCTGATGGCAACTGGTCAATCTACCGAAGAAAAAACAGGGACTATCCAGCCTAACCCTATTGAAAATTCTCATTTGTATGAGAAATTTTTGTGTCCAATAAACACATATGAATCATACAAGATATACAAGAACATGTAAGAACCGTATAAGAACCATATAAGAGCTATATAAGAACTATACACGATATATGAGAACATACAAGCAACATATAAGAAATTAGTGGGAAGTTTCTTATAAGTTTCTTATGGGGTTCTTATATATCTTATATAATTCTTATATAGCTCTCATATAATTCTTATATGGTTCTTATATGTCCTTATATGTTCTTATATATCTTGTATGATTCATATGTGTTTATTGGACACAAGAAATTTCTCATACAAATGATTTTTTTTACTAGGGAATCAATTACTTGTTTGTACTCTATGAATATTACTTACCCTCCTCCGCGTGACAAAAGTTTCGTGCTACTTCGCTTGAAAAAATTTTCAACGGCAAATCACGCTACATGAAAACGGCATGACTACATCTAAGGTTAACAGCTCACTAAAGGACGTGGGTGCCACGTACGAAACTCGCGCCATTTGTTTTTTTGAAGTGACTGCACCGCTTACTGCAAAACCCTTCGCGAGCCCCATATTTTCGAGAATTACAAAATTAGCGAAACAAAAAGACACCCGAATATCTCTCTTGTTTTGAGAAGTTTTGAGGCCAGGATTCAAGTCTTTAGAACTTGCGAGAGTTAGCGGCTGTGAATAGCTTCCTATGCCCGATTGGAGAATAATTTGGATCGCAAAAATAAAGAGTTTTACGTAGGCAGCGTCGACAACAATCGGGAGGACGAAGCGTACGATTTTCTTAAGGACGTATGCTGCCGTTGGGGGTTACAAAAAATTGTTCTTCGGCAGGGCGAGTGCACGAAAGTTCGTCAATCGTGGAGTCGTCCGTGAAATTCAGATCCACTGTGTGGGTAGCCTTGCTGAGGGCCAACGACTGCAGTACGTAACTCTGTACGCGTACGCTCGTCGACGTGGTCGTCGGGGCCACAACGCTGCACTCAATAATGTGCCCCGCATTCACAAGTTATTCACCTTCGACAAGGCACCACTTTTCGTCGGCAATGTACTCCATAATAGTACGCAATGGCACTGAAACTGAAACAAGTAACCGCATCACAACAACAACCACAGATATAAGCATCCCGCTTGGCATTCCTTGCCTTGGCGTGTTTCCACTCTCGTAGAACGATACAATCTTTTCGAAGAGACAAGCATTCACAACGTAAATAGCGCAGTTTACCCAAAAAGAAGCCTTCATTGTCGCAAGGATCCATGTTTCAATGTGCGCAGAGAGCAGACTGCGCGCGGCGGTGTCCACACCATTAGTGCTTTCAACATCGGCCGCAAGGTGGCGACTCTGTTCGATCTCGAGGCGAATAGACGGGTAATTTGTACCGTTGTACTGCACTGGCTAAACTTCCCACCCACAACGGTGATAGTAGACGCCGTCTCAAGACAGAGTAAATAGCTCGGCATCATAACCCTATCCTCCGCCAGAAACGCATGCTTGAACTATCACTCGACAAGGGGTTTCCCCAGGAATTGAAATTAGGGGGGGTGTCTCAATCTTTAGTGGGGCGGGGGGGGGGGGGGGCATTGAGAATAGAGGAGTCATTGCGAATTAAGGGGGTGCCTTCAGAAAAACAAGGTGGATGTATAGGGAAATCACTGCACTCAACTAATTTAAATCACGTTTATAAAGTTGCCATGCCAAGCGTCATGACCTCGAAGACAACATTACTTGAACCACGCTTCCCCGCTCCAACTTCTGCTACTAGTGACGCTGTTCTTTTTAAACCAACCCTTACACACGCAGCCTTTAGTTGATTTTGCGCATTCGCTCCTCTCTGTAATGCACATCGTACCTTCAAGACAAATACACAAATAATGAGACCTCCACATAACTAAGCGCAGGGAGAAAGTTCAAGAAGCCAACGTACATTTGACCTGTATCTGAAGCTCGTTGCTCTCTCCCTGCCCCTGGCTGTTGCTGGCCAGGCACTGGTAGAGGCCCCTCATGGCCCTGGCGATGCGCAGGAGTTTGAGCGAGTGGTTTCCGAACACCAGGTCCGGGCCGGCATCTCTGCGACGGTCGAGCAGCCTTCCGTCGTGCTTCCACCAGACGTCCCGGACTGGAGGGTTGGCGCGCACCACGCACTCGAGCGCCACGTCGCTGCCCTCCAGGATGGCTCCGCTCTTGTGACCCGAGCTCACGCTCAGCGACAGCTTGGGCACGTCTGCAGGGAGCACGCAACCAGCGTTTCTCTTTATGCTTTGCTCGCTGGACACTTTGTGTACAAAACTCTGTCGGTTCGATGTTTACAAATGTAGAAGGCAACGGGCAATCCCACGGTCCAGCACGCGTACGGTCGTCGCTTCCAAAAGTGAGCAAAGCACACGCCATAAGCACAGACGCTGGAAATGGCGCCGGCCAGACGCCATGATCTGGAAAGATCTATTCGGGTTGAAATTGAGGGAGAGGAGGAGAGGAGAGCGCGCGGGGAAAGCAGAACGCCTAGTCTTCACTGGAAATATTAGTGGGTATACACGCAAAGCTAGCTGCTTTTGTCTTTACTCTCTTTTGGAACGCGTTCGAACGCGAACGCCGAACGCTTGACGCTGGCGTTTGGCATTCGCGAGCGCGCTCGAACAGTGAGCAGAGGCAAAGACAGTTGGCCTCACTAAACATTCCAGTCAGAGCTCAACGTCTCCTTCTCTCTCTCTCAATTCCACCCCGCAAAGTAAGTATTCAATGGCGGTCATAGCTGAGCCCGCGGCTGTTGAGCACGTGCTGACAGCGAACTTGCAGAGTTCTTTTCTAACGTGCGTTCCAGAAGATCAAAGTTACCGGTCTTAGCAGCCTATAAACGTGAGCTGCTTCTGAGCGATGCCCAGTGAACAGGGCAAGCTGCCATAGCTCTGCGCTCTGCGATTGAACGCGTGCTGACAGCGAGCGTTTGCTATTGGGGAGGAGACCGAACAGTCACGCCTCTAGTGGTACGCTTCAGGTCTGGGGACAACATATCGTATTTTCTTGTTTCTTCTTGATCCGAGAAATCGAAGATGACTTGCGCTTTTGATTCTGTGAATTTAGACTCATTTTATCTTGATGTTTTTACGATGCCATACAATCAGCCGAGTCAATCTACAAAGGTATTCGCCGTCGAAAATATTTGACCACACAGGAGAGCCGAACTGCCTGGGTATTCCCCGCTCACAACATGAAATTCAACCAGTGTCATCAATCGAACAACAAACTGTACGTACTCCATGGTGCCGCGTTATCTGAAAAAGATTTGAGAAAGGTCTCAAATAACACAGCATACCCAAAATACAGTGTCGACGATAGTTACTTCACGACGATTGGACAAAATGCGGCTGTATTTGGGGCACGTTTTGAAGAGAGCTGCTTTTTTTTTTTTTTTTTTTTTTTTTTTGCACAGCATTAAAGGAAACGAACAAACGTGTATATTCCGTCTTCATGCACACCCTAAAAAAAAGGGTATCACCTTACACTGTTTTCTTCTATATAATGCATCCCAAAACTTCCATTCGGCGTACAGCGCACTATAATCTAACACAGTGGTTCTCAAATAGGGGTCCGCGAAGCCCTGCCTCATGAGCCCAGCAATAAAAGTTGTATTTTTTTTTTAGATTGAGAAGAACGTTCCAATTTTCGGGTGAGTTTTCTTATGTGCATGTCAACGAGAGAAGTCTACTTTACAACAGCCCTTAGTTATATCCCTTTATCAAATAATTATCATAATTGACCGATGCATTTGCCTTCCCCTCACCAAGATTGGGATCCCCCATCGCTTCCGCCGATCCACAAGGGGTCCGCGAAACATGACTGGTTGAGAAGCACTGATTAACAGACGGCCCCAAATTTTACGAGGGGCTTGATAACGGTGCGATATAACTTAGTAAACAGCTAAAATACGTATCAAAGATCACAGAAAGAAAACACTTTAGGTTTTGCAATGAAGCCAAAAGAGCACCGATTATTTCTTTTTTTTTTTTGCAGACTGTAACACGTAAATTAGGTATTTTAATAAGTTGTACCACACGGCTATCAAGCCTCTCCTGAAAGTTAGTACCGTCAGCTGGACGTCAGTGCCCTGTACGTCGCACTGAAGTTTTGGGCTGACGTCTATGGGACAAAAGGTGTGATGTCATGCCCGACGTCCTACCTGGGGCAGTCATTAAGCGAACGAGGCCAAGAGCTTTTCACGTTAATAAACGTATATTCTTATTGTTATTAACCGATAACCTCTTCCATGCAAACTAATGTATTATATTCTTCGGGTATCAAAATAGCTAATAGAGCTTTCCGAACTAAAATCCTCGCACAAACAAAATTTATATTTAGCCGCTAATTTTTCTCGATAGCCAAACTGTGGACTGACCGCATATCTACACAGATTCGTATCTAAACTAAACATTTCGAGACCGAATGACAACCGCTTTGGACAATGTCAGAAACCACGGGCAGCATAGTTTTAGAAAACTGCTCCAAGTTCAAGATACCTAGAGTCGCGCTTTTCTACTCGAGACGAAGTGACGGTAAGCCTTACGCCTTGCCGTCACTTCGTTATTCTTCGTCATAGGCCCCACACGACCAAATCGTCGCTTTGCAGCCGAACGTATGCGCTTAACTCTTTGCCGGTCCAAGTGTTCGTGTACATATTTTTTCTAAATGCGCTTTACATTTACTTCCACTTCGTGCCTGCATGCATGTTTCTCATTAGGCGCACCATTACCGTACGATATGACGGGTGCGAGCGTATCTAGAAATCACTATAATTTTCTTTTTCAAAACACAGTACTGGTATTTGCAAGATGACGGTAATGGCGGCTAGCGGATGCACACTCGTTGAGACGCCTTAATTATTGCCAGCGGCGAGTGGGCAACACGAAACAGCCGCGAGAAAACGAGGCAAGTGCCGGCGGGCTATTGCCACGTCTTTCATTTCCCTATTGGGCACCCGCGCTATCGCGACGAAAAATAGCGCAGAACACATCTAAAGGTCTCGTTCATGCCGACTCCTCGTATCTCGAAAAAACGCTCGAGAACGTTTCCAGTTCCGTTTCGCTGACATCAGGAGCCGGAAACGTCGAAAAAAAAATAACTGAAATTAGCCTCGCTGCGACGAAAACTCGGGAACGCGAAACATGCTAAAGAAACAAAAACAACAACTACAAAAGCATATTCGGGGTAAAAATTAGAGACGAAAAAAAAGGTAAACGAGTTGAGGGGGGGGGGGGGGGGGGACGTTAGAGTTGCCGCCGGAAAGCGTGCGAACATTTACCTATCAACCATCTGCGCGCGAACCCAGGGAGCCCAAAAGCGAAAAAGAAGAAAAAAGAAAAAAAAAACGGCGCTTGCTCAGGCTCGCCGCTAACGTGTCGCTCGCAAAACTGGGCTCCTATGACTCGGGCCCGGCCCTCGTCTTGCACGTAAAGCGTCTTTGAAATGAGAAGAAACGACACCTTTTTAGTCTTCGTGTGGTTCCGAAGTGCGCTTGCACGGGAGCGATAACCAAGTGGCCCCGCGAAACGATCGTCGATGTGGTTCGAGGGAGGTGTGCTTTAACGCGCCCAGGCTACAGTGCAAGCGCGTGCTCCAACTGCAACAAACAGTGCAATTCGCGGCCGCTTTTGGCTACGAAAAAAAACAAAAAAAAAACGCTCCCGGTTTTTAGTGATTCGCCGGCCATTGCTTCTCCTTCCACACGGACGAAGTGCAATGCACATACTTTTTAGTCAAACGCGCGCATCTTATTTCCCAGGTGCGAACAACATTCTCGAACTTGAACAAAATCAGAAGTCATAGTTTAGGTTGAGCGGACAACGAACAAAGAACGGCGATGTTTTCCGCGTGTGATTGCCCGCGCCAGACCAACAGCGTTTTTCGGTCTGGTAACGCCAGGGCAATAAAATGACCTAATTTTGTTTCTGCATGGCATGGAGCGAGCTGATGTCATTAAAAGCACAAAGCGAGCTAGACGTCGTGAGTTTGAAGCGCGAAAACGGCACCTAGTTTTCTTTTGACAAGCCGAGAAAATTTCCCTCTGAGCGCATGTTCCTCTCTCGTCAATTGGCTAGCTTCGCGCTAAAGAAAGGTTACTGCGCTCAGAAGATTTCGCGTGTCTACTGTCTACTACTAACTAGACACACCTACAAGTGCTTTTTTGTTTATTTATTTTTACATACTGTTGGCCCGTGGGCCGGGGCAGGGAGGAACATACATTTAACAAAACAGTAAGGTTCATACCTACGATAAAGTATAAAACAATATTGTTTTTACAATATTATACACAAAACGCACCCAGAGCGCAAATGAAAAAAAGAAAACAAAAAAAGACGACTTAATCCACCTAAAATTAGTGATAATTATTTTAACTACAAATTGGCAACAATAAACGAAGGCAGGTGCCGTGTACACTACAATGCAGCACACTATGTATACATAGGTAACTTCAAAGATAGGAAAGTGAAGAAAAATACCATCCAGGCGGTATGTTCACATTTTAAACGGAGTAAAAAAAAAATCGAACAGCATCCTCGAACATGGGAACATCTTTGACAGTGACAATATGTTCGGGATTCTTATTCCAATAGGTTAATCGTGCTAAAGCAAATCCTTGAAAACATTGATTCTGGCCAGATAGGAAGCATTCCCATAGCTGTGTGCGCGGCTGCCGAGCGCCTGCTCACGGCGAGCCTCCGCAGTTCTTTTGCAACCTGGATTCCGCACAAATCAAGGTCTTCTTTTTGTTCTGTTGGTAAACAGAAACTTTAACCTTCTCCTAACCAATAAAGGTTCCAGACCACAAACATTCCTGTCCCAAAGGACGTTGATCTGTAGTATGAAAGGTGCGGCCTGTCTCTGTAATCTTTCGAGCCTGTATATGGCGGTCTTGGTTGCGGTGTCCCAAACGACTGAGGCGCATCCTAGTGTAGACCGTAGTAGAGTTTTGAAGGCCGTAGGGCTTATTTTCTGACTGTTATTTTTAAGTTTATGCCTAAGCACGGTAATTTCCTCTGCGAAGCTGCGCATATATTATATGGCTGCCATTTTAAGTTTTGTCTTATTGTTAGCCCCAAATACTTGAAAGTGTCTGATTTGGTCAATTGTACAATCCCACTGTGATACTGAAACAGAGATGCATTCTTTTTAGTAGGAACCTGGGCACAGAATGACCTTTCGAATTTCATTTCCCTTTGCCATTGGGAG